GAGGCAGGAGAAATTCGCTTGAACCCAGGAGGTGGAGGTTGCGGTGGGCCAAGATCGCACCACTGCATTCCAGCTCAGGGAACAAGAGTGAAACCATCTCAAAAAAAAAAAAAAAAAGAAAAAACAAAAACAAAAACAAAAGAAACAGTACCTGCACCTCATGAAGTGTTAAAAACACTAAATACAGGCTGGGCGGGTTGCTCACGCCTGTAATCCTAACACTTTGATCCGCTGACACGGGTGGATCACCTGAGCTCAGAAGTTCGAGACCAGCCTGGGAAACATGGTGAAACCCCCTATTTTATCAATCTAAAAAAAATAAGGAAATAAAAAAAGTTAAATACACACCATGGCACTCCACCCATAGCAACTGTTGAAAAACCACAATGGCACGGTTACCAAATAAGTGAGGCATAGCCTTCTCCGGCTTAGGGGTAAAAATGCCCAGTTCGGTTTTGAGGCAAATGAGGAGATACTAGGGATGAGCTGTCAGTTGACTCTTCAGCCATCAAAGCCTCGCGGTGCTCTCCTTGCCCTATCAGTAAGTCCACCCCAGGTAGGCTGGACACCCTACGAACATTTCGTGTTCCCTGGGAGCAAATGATGCTAGGAAAATAGGGTGCGGGCTCTTATTTGGCCGGAGTGGAGTGACCAGGTCAGCGCCACAGCTGCTAACCACCACCAACCACAGTTTTGAAAGTTCCTCGGCTTTTTCCGGCCTGAGGGCCGACGCTGTTTGCAAAATCACAAACACTCCTTAGAGCCGGGTTGGGAACCTAGAGTTTCCAAATCCCTGGAACCTTCAGCATCTCGCCAAACGTCCCTCATTAAAGGAGGGAAGTGAAATCAGAGCCCCACTCCGGCTGTTTTATAAGTTTTCCCAAATCCCTGGTCCCCTGACAAAGTCCGGGCCCCGGCCTGGCGGGGCAGGGCGCGCGAACGGCGAGCTGTTCCACCAGAGACCCCTCCACGACCTCCAGCGGCATCCGCGACCCTGCAGCTTGCTCTCCAGTCACGGCGAGCTCCGGCCGGGGGAGGGGCGGGCGGGAAGAGGGAACGGCGACCCCCGCGCTGCCCCGGGGCCGCTTCCCCCCACGGTGCCGCCCCAGGCCGGAGGCGGACAGGGCTCATTTGGACCCCCCGAGGCCGGTGCAGGAGGGCTTGGGCCCTCCAAAGGCTCAGCTTTTGGATTTCCAAGTAAAATATTGGAATAATAAAAATAAAGGAAGTGACGACGGCGCGAAGGACGGCCCGGGCCTGCGAGGAGGCTGCCTCATCCTCCACCCGTGAGGGGGCGCCGTGAGGGGTCTGCGCGGAGGCGGGGGGAGGGGAGCCCTGGGGGAGGGGACAGCAGGGAAGGCGGGGGCCTCAGGCACCGAAGGGGAGAGGGCGGGAGCCTCACCGGGGGTCTTCGAAGCGCACGAAGGCAAAGGGCACGAGGCCGTGCCGGTTCTTGAGCTCGATCTCGCGGATGCGGCCGTACTTGTAGAACAGGTCCTCCAGGTCCTTCTCGCGCACGTCGGTCGGAAGGTTCCCCACGTAGATGCGCCCG